TCGGTGCCTTTCTCTTCCCCCTCCGCCCAAGGCGCGGGGGGAGGGGGGGCGAGAGGGTAAAACAACATGCCGGTTGTCGCAGATTGTGTGATGTGAAACAGGTCGCTATGGCTGCGTCCAGCGTGAATGCAAAGCAGCACGTGAGAACTGTAGCAGTTCGCACCCCGGTATGAGCTTTCTGGGTGGTTACTGAAAGGAAAGCAAATTTAACCAATAATGCAGTGCTTACTCTGTATTTTTTACAGACCGGCCATGTTTCCAAACTATAAGCGCAGCAGTGTACCATACGTTTTAAATGCACATGTTCGGTATAGTTAAGAGCATGTACTGTAGAGCTGTCAGTATGACCTTGGATGAAACTATATGGATTTTTGAAGGCTACAGGGATCTCAGCAATACTCAGAAGAGATGAAATTGCAAGTAATCATTTCGGAAATCTCGCCAATCTCAACACCAAAACCAAGCAACCTTGAACAAAAAAAAAAAGCACCAGCGGTTGGTGGGTTAGCAGTTGCTGTGAAGACGAATGCAGGTAAACCTGGGAAGAATTTAGCCTGAGGTGAGGGAGTTAGGAAATTTCTAAAGTTGTAAGGAAGTGAATTAGGAGTTCAGTGTATATAGCAGGGTCTGGAGAAAAATGAAAAGGAGGCAGAGCAATTCAGAAATGGATTACATGAGGCAGAATTACTCAATTCCACTTGAGGAGGAGCTGCAGCGTTTCATCAGCGCTCCGCCTTCAGTCAGGGAAGCAAGGTGGGTGATAGGAAATTCATCAGGCCGTGCGCAGCCACAGATCTGCCTGGAAGAAGTAAAACGGCCAGCTTTAGCTTATTCGTTTCACTGTGGGAAGGCTGGGTTTAGATATACTCCTGGTCCCTGGGGAAAGAGAAGCAGACCTGGTGGTAAAAGAATTTGAGAATTCAAATTCAAACCCCAAAGAAATACCAGAAGGCATGTGGGTTTTCTGTTTTCTGGGTAATGAGCTGAGATGGCAGAGCACTGCTAACTGGACTGTTCTGGCCAGATTGTAATCTATTATCTTTTGAATATCTAAGCCATAGAAATAAAAATTATTAAGATTTAGATGGAGGTTGTTGTTCCGACTTAAGCTTTAGTCAGCTGGTGGTTGACCTATAATTACTTTATTTAATTCAAAAGATTAAACGCATCAGATTTGTGAGGCAATACTCTAGCAATGCCATATAATCTTACGCTATGGTACCATTAGAAGACTGCCTCTGGGAGATGTAAATGTAGAGAGCTAGCTTGTGTAAATTCTTCACGTTAGTGCATTCAGCTGCAAGATTGTTTTGCTGGATTAGGTCCTCAGGCTCAAGCTTTAAATTAAGATACTGAGCAGTCTCACGGAAGTTGGGGAAATCGAAAATATGATATGGAAGAGAACTGTTTATTGAATGAGGACCAGCATGTGTTCAACCACTTTGGAGGGTTTGCTCTTTTGAATGTGGGTGGAAAACATGGGCATCTATTTTATCTTTCTCAGGTTTTCCCATTGTGCTGCAATTACAGCATGCTTGGTCAGCCTGCCAAAATGCATGAAGAAGACCTTAAAGCTGCTACTATGAGAAGCAGTTATCCTTCAGCTTGAATGCTTAACATCTGCTGGCTGTAACAAAGTTCTGCCCAATATAACTGGAGGTCTTAAAGGGACATAAATACTAACAATTTTTATTAATCTGTTATTGATTGCTGGAAAAGCAGGCTCTGTAAAGGTGAAGACAAGCCATGGTGCTTGTCTCGGGGATTTTATTACTTAAGCTGAGATAGCAACAAAACACAAAGGTTAATTTTGGACGAAATGATAGCAACAGGTGAAAGGGGGGTGTGGTAATCACGTAATCACCATAGGTGCTTTATTGACTTACATATTCTAAAGGGTATATTTAAAAGATGAAGGAAGACACTGCCAAACCTATAAAGTGGTGAGGGAGAAAGCATGAAGGAAAATTTGCCTAAAGAGC